TGTTGCAAGTTTCCCTCAAACATGCAGGGTACTTATATCAAGGACTTGAGACCTAGCACTACAATAAGAAATCTACATGATCTGGTCGACAGAGCAACAATAATCTTTTAGCAAATTTCAAACTAATTTGAAAAGGTTTTAGCGCTTTATACTATAAACTAAGCCATTAAATATGCCCTGGCACCATGCAAGTATTATGTCAATTAAATTTGCATGATATAAGATATGTTACTTAATACATATTTACATTGACCATCTAGGTTAATTGTTCCATTTTTACTTGCAATACAGAAGTTTGTTGATGTTAATTCCAATTTTAGGTTTCATGTAACGTTGCATAGGCTCCACAAATTAATTTTTGGACTTAGCTATTGTTAGACCGAGGTCTACTTTTAATATTCCTCTCTACATAGCATAAAATTTCTAGACCAATTCATGCTATTTGACTAGTCATCTAGATGCATCAAAAAGTATGATAGAAATGAGAATATTAAGATAAGTAGGTGATGTGGGCTCCAAAAATTCATGATCGCTACCTTGTTAACTCTCTGCATTTAGTTTTATTTTTGTAAGAGGGTCAAATTTTCAAAATGCAGATTGAATTGTAGATATGACACAACTCAAAGATTTCTCATTTAGCGAGGACTTTTTTATCTGGGATTCGAGGTTTCCCATGGGCGCAAGTCATTATGGTTAGTTATTAAGAATTAAATATTCAACATATAATTGTAGTGGACTTAGGACTTAAGTTTGTAGAATTCATCACTCGAAGTTTAAAGCGGATGGTGGGGGAATAAAGATGAAACCCGGTTATGATCCTATGGTTCTGTCATCCTGGGTCTTCGTTGTCTTTGATCTATTTTGTCATAGGAGATAGTCGACCCAACCCGATAGAAGGATTCTTGTCAACAAGTATGTGTTGCGTTGTCAAAGACATTTTTTAGATCTGCGGTGATTATTTGTCTAAGGAGATGAATTTAAGTCGACCTTAGCTGATAGAAAGTTTTTTGCCCATTGATTGTACCCTTATGATTCATAACTCAAAGGGTAGAAAACCGTTGAAGAACATAGGAGCTGCGACCATAACTGTAATATAATGGTGTCATTTGACGATAACCACCCCGCCAAAGAGCTCTGGTCTTAACCGCTATTTTGTGGTATTGTTTAGCGGTAGAACCACACTGACAGAGGACTCGGGCCACGTTCTTACTGATATGCAATTACTTTGATTGCGAATATATTGATATATTTGATATGACATTACTCTTTGTGAGTTGAAGCCAATTGAAAAAGACTTCACCCTCGACAAACTGTTGTGGAGGGCAGTTTCTAGCTTTTAAGTGATTGAATTTTGCTTTACATATCAGTTAGTTATTTTGAAAAACTTGATTTTAAATATTAACCCCTCCGATTTAAATCTTATATCAACACGGTTTGAACCTTTAAAACTTTTATATTGAAGGGGGGACATTTAGTTTTGTTAGCTTAAGTTTTTCAAAATATAAGTATTGTGGACTCCTATGTTTATTGTCCGAAGGACCAGACTAAGTAATTTGAACTTGTAAATTCTTATATTAGGTTTACTAGACTCGTCAACTCTAGTCCTTATGAGGAGGATCAGACTTGTTGAGTAGGACTTACAATCGTGTTTTATAGACAAGGCGGCCTGTTAGCCCGTGCAACATCCTTGAATCTAGTATTTGAACATTCTATACATTGATTGGAGCACATGCAGAGTTTTTAATTTTATATGTTTGAGTTATTTCAGCTGGAGCTCTTAGTATCTTAGGACAATTAATATGATTTAAAACACGGATTGAATTAAAGAATGCTTTAAATGACATCTTTAAGGCTTGTCATTACATAAATTTGTCTCTTCTTAA